CCCCCCCCCCCCCCCCCTCCCCCCACTTCCTAACTACATAGAGGGGAATATGCCAACAATAACCTTTCGGATTGAGCCATGAATTTCCAATCCTTCAAATAAAGGGACATTCAAAGGCATGCATGGCTCATAAAATACAATGATTAAGTGATTTTTTTCAGCTCGCTACTTCCATGACCGCTGGATTTGTTTCTGTCACTTTCTTCCTATGCAGTCTATGCTATGGGGCCATTTTTAGGTTCCTCTTGCAAAATCGATACAGTACTAGCACGTGAGTCAGATCGAATCAGCTCCTTTCCCAATATACCTCATTCCCCCTAAAAATTTCAGGGCTGTACAACGTGAACGTCGCCTCTACATTCAAATGATCGGACTCTTCATTGGTTTTGCCTTATTTTTGGTCTACAACGTTGTGCAATTCATATTTTCACTAAAATCTAACGTAAGGTCTTGCGAATTATTCTAGAGTTCCACTTTTGCTCTCGAGGCTCAATAAGAACGAGTTTGTAATATCCATTCGTGTTTTTCTTGAACCGTGAGGGTTTCCAGATGCAAAATGTTGAGAGAGAAAGAAGAAATGATCGTGCAAGAAGAGCAAGATACCCAAAAGTCGATATATCACAAAAAATAGAAACAATGATACTGCCTATCTGTCTCAAAATTGAAGCGAAATTACAGGATGGACCGGTATACACAATGAGGACCACATTTCCTTTGGCCAGCTGTTTTTTCTCGTATATCAACGCATGGATGATCCTGTTCCTGAACAACGAGATACGAGGAAAAATTCTGACTTTGATAAGAGTTCGGACGCAAAAAACAAAGGTAAACCAACTTGAATTTCAAGCCAAACAGGGAGACTATAGGGAGAAGAATCCCGCTGAATCAGGAGCTTCTCAACTGTACATAGTAGGAAAGCGATTAGACCATGCATAACGAATGGAAGAATGGGAGAAAGAGGAATTACGTATGTAATTAACAAATATTGAATATCGTAGTGAAATCTAGAGTGGAGATGGCTATGGGTCTCAAGCAGGAGTGTTTTTATTCAATCAATTTTCCAAGGGTGACCTGAGTCGACGAAATGTCATCTACTCGAAATCCTTGACCACCCATTCTACAAGGAAATCCGTTTTTGTTCGAGCATCCTTCCTGAGATTAGTAGCCCCTGAAGGGAATTAAGGCCTGAATTGAAAAATCCTCAGAGGGCGGATTCCTCCGGCAATGGTCAATATTTTTTGAAGACGCGCCACGCATTCGGCTTTACATAAAGTCGTAGTAGTGTTTTGAAATTGTATGTGTACTCTTCAATGGTTCTGGTGGCCCCTTTTGCAATAAATCACCTATCCTGGAGGGATGGAAGGCCTGGTTGGCTATGGCGTAAGGTGCCACTTTCCACCACTACATCCCTCCATCCTACATCCACATAGGGTCCACCCCACTATGTTGATTGTCCATGGTTGATCCAGTTTTGTCAAAAATGCTACTACATACTCCTAGGCAATGTCTAAGATGTTTGGGAAACAAATTTATAAAAACAAAAGCTGTCTTATTTTCAGACATCGGTAAATGTGTCCACGTCAACGAAAACGGTCTTCGTGAATTATATAACCACGCGTTTCTGAGACTTTGTTTTCTGTACTATTAACCATGTAGTTTTCTGGATGTTTGGTACATATTCTAGAATGTAAGCAGCAGCTGCTTATGATGATTTTGTTGTTCCAATTTCTTCCAAATGGAATGGTATACCTCTGGCTTGTCTATAGAATACCCTTCAGAAATAATGGCTCTGCTTCATTGATGTAGTTAAAACTAAAATACTTTAATCGTGTAGAGCTTGTGAATAAATGTTTTTTCTCTATGATATCGGCTAGTAATTCAAACATAATAGTAAATTGTCTGGTCACTATGTAACCGATGTTTACTAGTTGTTCAGCAACTTGCCATTTCCAGTATCACATAATTACATGCCGGTCAAATTGTTCGTATATGATAAAGTGACAACATTTACGAAAACATTAGTAACACGACTAGACAAACTCAAATATCTAACGGGGAAAACAGTAATTTGGAAAAAGACCTATACTGTATGCCAAGTGGAAATTAACAAAATGACGAAATTATTTTCAAACAGTCAAGCTCAGTCGCAGATACACAGTAATACGAAAATCCCATATGCGTTCTCCTCGAGAGAATCTCAAGAAACATATCATCTCCATTTCATCGCGTAATATTTATTATCTTATTGTCCACACCTCATTGTATGGAACATATACGCAGTTGATACGCTACTTCGAAATGGAAGTCGAATGCACGGCGCATCCCTCAGACGGGATTGATTGATGCCCGACAACTTTATATCTTATCCTTTGATATTTGTTGTTCCTCGACGAAGATGGCGTAGTGATGTATGGCGCCGCTACCAGTGTTGTGTTGAAGAGATCGGATTCGTGTTCGATAGACTTTTATAACACATCAATCCATGCCAATTGTGAAGCTTCCTCGACTTGGAGCACCATAGACGTGGAGTAAGCGAAGTAGTACCTATAACAGCACTGGGATATTGTAGAATGTCATTTAAGGTTGTAGGGACAGTGCCCATGTACGTGCGGCTGCCCGTTGCCCGCTTATTTCTGTATATCGAATACTGTAAAGTTTCAGTTATTCATATTCAGTAACATTTCGCTGTAATTTCTTGTCTGATTGGACTGAATCCATCAGAGACATGCACTAAGAAAAGCAGCCACTAAACTTACCAAAAGGAAAAGAGCCCTACAAGGAAGCGAAACTAAGAGATAGTATGCGACCTTTGCGATAAAATAAAAGAATAAAAAATAAAATAAGTGGGTTAAAATCAAAAAAAGTTAGTTTTGCACACATATATCACCTAATATAAGGAGCCACCCATAAAAACTCACTGCTGTCCTATTCCTTTCCATTAATAACTAAGCATACGAGTTTCAGACACCCTGAAATAACCACCAACGATAATTTTGGTTCAAGTTTCTTCTTTTTCTATTTAGCTTTTCACCGTCCGATAATATGTAGGAATGGATGAAATGGACCTGCAACTATCTCGGCCCATCTACACGAAGTCGTGCAGTATGGCCCCATTATTGCCATTATTGGAATTCATGAAACTTCTTGAAAAAATAGAGCACCGTCTGTTCCTTCTCGAATTTATTCAGCTTCCAAGCTCCACCATTTGCCTGTGACTCCGATTTCTACAAGGGGANTCTCTTATCCGAATTACGTGTGGTCGAATCATAAGATTTTTGTATAGAAATTCTCCTCTGCTCTCGAGCCAGCAACCCTGCATATGCTATGCCGGTATACAGCTTCTTATTATATGTACGTGAGACAAATCAGAGCTAATTAGTCGAATCAACAGTGGGTATTTTTTGTTTGTTACATACCACAATTTGTTTATTTGCCCATCGTGAGAGAATTCGTTCTGCAGACGATTCTGTTTTCCAGTAATTCGTTTACTACACAAAGTTAATCATGAGAAGAGGAAGTCGTCATAAGTATTACGTTTCGTCGGTACCTTTCCTCTACTTGTACAGGTTAGGCTTCATTCTAGAATCAATCACAGGTAAAAAGGGGGGATAGGAGGTCGTGATCAGAGAAAATCGCCTTCAGAAGTAAAATTAGTCGTCAGGCATTTCTTCTTGGACATCATGGGTTTTGCACTTTAAGTTTCTTTCAAAATACCTGACTATTCTAAGCCATTAAATGAGATGTACCCAAAATTTCAGCGCTCTAATCAGAAATTTTTATTTTCAACCTCCTTTCAGCACCTTTATCTTGCGGTAATGTGCCCTATTCCTCTACCGTTCCCTTTCTGCAATTGTCTTTTTCAGGTATAACTTCTACAGGATATTGACAAACAGAAATGGTACTATATTGGTCACAATACGTATTCATAGCTACTAATATTGTTTCTTTTCCTCTCTATTTGCTAGTCATGGTCGTATGCGTGAAAGAGTATAAATACAATCCTGCGCAGAGGGCATTCAATCTAGTTGTTATATCTCAGGTAAAACACTGTGAAAGATTCGCTTTTTTGACCCAGATGTACTGGAGTGACCCCCAACTTTTCGATAAGCAAAAGAGGTATCAAGTCATTAAAGCTCAATAAAGTGCGCCCAGCATCCAACTTCTAATCAGAACCGTGGAAGAATTTTCGAGCGTATGTAGCCTATACAATAACTTGTGATGGCCAACAGATGTACAAGTCGTGCTTTTATCCTCTCACACGAGTCTGGAACCAATTAACCGGCTATGCGAGATTGGAAGACTTGGTTAGTCTGGGTAATGGTTGGGAACTACCATACGCCCTTATACTTCCAAAACCTGCTTAATCGAAGGGAAACACCGCGCCGACTCTAAACCGTCAACGTGACTCCAAGTCGTGCGAACACCTGTAACGATCATCATTTTGAAGAATTGCTCCTGACCTTTCGCAGAACGTCCTAGTCAGTTGCCAGACTACAGTTTTCGGCCATCAGACTGAAAGCTGATGCCGTAATGGTGATGAGTCGCACGATTCCTTCACGACGCTGTCTATGAACGCTGTCATCGTGACGTTTCTGAATTAAATTTGAGTTATAACTTCAAGAAGCATAAGGTCAAACTTCCTAGTTCATATTTTACCAATGCCATAATTTATTATTCGCTAGGGTGTGATGGATATCTTGCTGATGGCAAGCTACTTCTTTTTTGGAACATTACGTCTATCAGAGTTAGTAAACGGATTCTTTTGGACTTATAAAGACTACAGTATTGCAATGTGGTGCTTCAATCAGACCTATATATCGGCTATATTACGATGCTTTGGAGTGCTCGTGATCTCATTTCAGCGATATATTTCTCTGTGTAAAAGTGTAAATCCAACTATGCAGGTAGAACCATGATTTGAATTCATTTACCCTCTTTTTAGCAAAAGAATTATCTTCAGCTTATCAACACCTCATACCGCTGGATATTACCTGTAGCGCAGTGGACCGTACCAACACTGTATTCGATTCCGATACTTATTTTCAGTAATGCAACCTTCAAAGCTCCAGATAATTTGGAAGTATTGATTGAACACAAAGATATCACGGTAAGTATCCTACTGGAAACGTTAGCTGTACCGTAATCACTTTCCTAACATATACTGTGAACTTCAACAAGTCCGTGCTTAGGCTACTAGTAGGTGGCAGTCTTACTGCACTGTACTTCACCGTCTATCCCAAACCAACGAAATTCCTACCTTAATCCGGTTGAAAATCGTGCATAGAGAAGAAAAACAAGACGAGCCCTAGGCTATCAGAACATGAAAGATTGGAGGAACAGAAGCGCCGCCGCTGTGAAGGAGTCAAACTACTTGGACTTGGGCGACCGATCGGCACATCCGGTCGACAACTTTCCAAGGTGTATTATACTGGTCTGTTCCCCGTGACCAAGAATTCAGATGCGTCGTGATCTGGGCTCAAATATGATTGTTTCTATTGGTCCCGTACATAGCAGTGGCTGCTAAGCTAGGAGAAAGCGAGTGGAATGGGCCCTTTTGGCATGGCCTTCAGTTTGCCCTTTCGTCCAACCATCCTTACTGACTGAAACTCTTTTCAGGTGGCTACTTCGACGACGGCCATTTTCGTCACAATTACTTTTTTTCTATGCAGCTTTTGTTACGTGAACATATTGAGATTCCTGGTGAAAAATCGCTATAGCATCAGCGTGTCAGTTTGTACAAAGGTGGTTAATCGGTTTCAGGGCAACTGTCCAATTACACGTCTTTCAGAGCTGTGAAACGAGAACGCCGTCTTTATATGCAAATGATGGGACTTTTCGTAGGATTTGTTCTTCTGTTCGTCTTTTACGTTCTGCAATTCAGGTTTTCACTTAACTCTGATGTGAGTGTGAGTAAGACCTCTCTGTAAGCTTATCTACTCATCAAGGGGACCATAGTCCTATCAGTCCAACGATCTTCCGAATGAGATGGGAATAACTCGACTTTTTTTGACAGAATACAGATTTCCCACTCCGTGATTTTAGCGAAAGGGTAATCCCCGTGAATTAGAAGAGTCACTTCGAATTAGGGAACTCGCTTACACATAAAAAGGAAGAACTCTTGGCAATGCTTTGATGCAGAGCCAGCTATCCGGAAGTGGATCAACAATGGCAAATACCGTATCCCAGACTTCGATTGCTTTGAAATGTAATATTATTGATATAATCTGCTCTAGTAGTGCAAAACGGAAACTTTCTGCCTTTTCAAAACGTATATTCAACCAAGTGGTGGCCCAATTCTGCCGCAACAGGTCCATATTCTCTTGGATTTTTGCTACTTAGGCAAGAGGGGAAGAAAGACAAAGCTTTCTTTTGTAAACTTACCCCTACTTGTTTAGACTAAACCCTAAAGTGCATTCGCGTACCCTAAGTTACCCTAGAATGGATGACGTTTCTTAAGTAAAGGGTCAAAGAAGTATCACAGTTACCAACCTGGGTACTGCTTTTTACAAGTCACTTTCCCACCTCCTTCTCAGTGACCCTATCGGAGCTAGCATTAGATTTTCAGTAAATTTATGCAATTATTGGTAAGGTACGAACAACAAACAAACAAACAGCAGATAAAAACAAGTGGAAAGGCAAACTTCAGTCTACTAATTTTGAAATATTAATTTCTAGTCAAAATTCTAAAAAATAGATTTTTAGAATGACCCTATATTTACTATGAGGACTATTTTCCCAGTGATAAGCTGTTTCTTCTCCTACGTGAACATTTGGATGATGTTGATTCTGAATGAGGACATCAGAAGGAAACTCCTGGCTTTGATAAGACGAGGTCCGTCAGAAAAGGTGAGTCGGTAGCTTGTGGAAAATAAACTAGGCCGACAGGACCAACCTTAGTGTAGAGCATATCGATGAAAACAGTAGGAATCCTTTTTTCCTTTCTTCTATTTCATTTTCATCCATTTTCCAGATGTCTACAAACATGTCCGTCTCTATGAAGGCGATATCCACTGGCAATGTAGTACGATTCTAGCTGCCTTCGCTGACTGCTCTGAGGTACAACCGTCCAAAGTCACATCCTGCTTTTTATCAGTTTCATGAGCAGTAAAAATCGTGAATTATAATTTTAGGCCTCAAATCTGTACCGAACATAAAGTACCATACATGCGGTAGTAAGGTTACCTTTTGAGCTCTCGCGATGCTTTTATAATGACATTTCAGCTGAACTTTTCCAATAAAGCTATCAATTCGAATAAGGCAAAACAAATAACTATTAAGGTAGAAGGGACTGAAAAATGGATCGTGAGTAATAGCTTTATTTTTCACTTCCATTTGAGACTCAGATCCAAAAAGGCCAAAGTTGAGAATCTAAATCTCCCGCGGAGCAGATTTCCGGCACTATGAGTTTACGTTAATAACCCTAAACACGATTGAAAAACAACTTAGGCAAGGTGGACGCATGCAAAAGTTCCGGTCCCGGGTGGGCTCGAACCACCAACCTTTCGGTTAACAGCCGAACGCGCTGCCTATTGCGCCACGGAAACGCTTATCTCGCTTGTGGACACTCGAATTTTTTATGTTCCTTGATAAGGTGGAAACATTTTTCAGAGTGCACAATATGTAAAAATCAGTTACAATAGTAAAGGACATGCACACGCTCCATTGGCGCAGTTGGTTAGCGCGTGGTACTTATAAGAATGAGAAATGCCGAGGTCGGGAGTTCGTTCCTCCCATGAAGCAGATTTTTGCAATTTAGGATTGGGTTTCAGGAATCGAAAATAAGACCGATTGCGAGTTCCGAGTGGGCAGATGTGCAAAAATTCTGCTCCCGGGTGGGCTCGAGCCACCAACCTTGCAGACAACAGCCGAACGCGCTGCCTATTGCGCCACGGTAGCGCTAACTCTGTCAAAGAGAATTCAAAAAAATCCAAACTCTTCAGGATAATGAAAGTATTTTCAACCACAAAAACTTCAGAAGAAAACTCGCTCCCTATCCTAGAAGTTTTTCTAACTTCGAACTGCTTGCCGAAAGAGCATTCTTTGAGCAGCTGGAGAGGCATTTGGCTATCAGCAAAAAAGTTTGAGGTAAAGGCTCAAGTTCACTTAATAAGTTACATCGATGGGCAGGATCGGTTTTGAGTTAGTGTAAGTTTATCTGGCTTGCTCGGTTTACTGCCTATTAACGTTACTTTAGCCTTTTGAACAAACTTTTTGATATTTTATTTGAGCAGAACTTTGAAAGTATTTTTCTAGTAGTGCCACAATATAATTCTTACTTAACAGACTGCATATATGTACTTCCTTACGAATATTTCTGCAAGCTCAATAGTAGGCATAGCCTAGTCTCGATATGTCTAGAGGAAAACCACTGTCTACCATCAGAAAATGCGGCAGGAGATTCCACGAAATAGGGTCATCACGACCTAATAGGAGACTCCCGACCGACAGAACATTTAATTTTTCCCACTTGTATACTATCGAACAATAACTCCAAAGTAATTCCTGTGACATCACTACATAACTGGTTGGTTAAAAGGATCAATCATAACACTCCCTTCCAATATCCTTGAAATTATTATTTGCTCATAGATTTCGATAAAGCATGATACTGAATGATACTTCCCTGTGTTACCATGTTCTACTACTCGAAGCTACGTGAAACATACCTTTCTTGACATTCTCTGAATCCGCTCCCACAATATTTATGGGCCCACAGACCTTTTGGACTGTTCTAAAACCGATTTCGTCAAGATTGAGAATGAGATGTGTAACCCTAATCATTCGATCTGTCACTGGGTTTATCGATAAGTTTGGGAAAATTACCCGTATGGGTAAAAAGGACATAGATATTTTCAATGTCTTTATGCAATGTATATACGGTAATTGTGTATTCTGCTGTCAATACTGAGCACAGAAAAACAGGCGACTTTGGTTATGCTGCCGAGATGAAACGACAGCGTAGTCAAATCGTTCTTATTGCTTAACACACGTTAAGCTTGAACGTCAATCAAAAGGAAATCACTAGAATTACTGACGTAATGATAAACAAACAGTATGAATGGCTGATGAATATCGACAATAGCTACATGACAAGATATGAAGCACTTTAGACCCATTTCGGCCTCGCCGTTCCTTTTCCGTTCGTCGAGTCCGACGACGGCGATGATGAATGATGGGTGGTTTTCCTTAAAGGCCTTGGCTTTTCGACCACGTCCATTTTAGGCAGATTCGAAGATTGTGATATGCTACCGGTTTTGATGAGACTTGGACGTGAACTGGTTGACACTTGCGGTTTCATCGGTACGTCTCGCTTGGAACTGTCTGCTCGTTTTACGGCCACCTGACTCGGTCGCCGGAGCGTGGGTGTAGCCGCCTCTTTTGACGTCGTAGGTGGTGTACTCATGCGACGAGCCGGCGTCGGTGACGACGTTGTGGCCAGTGCTGTTCGAGCGATTATACTCGCTACCGTTCCTGCCGGCACTGCTCCCACTTTCTTTACTGCTGGTTTCGGGATTCCAGCAGTGGAACGAACAGGTAAGGTAGACGGCTTGGTTCCTGCCACAGATCCCACTCTGCTCGTTTGAGAGACTTTGGGAGGTTGAGTAAGTTTGCTGACGACTTTTCCAGTAGGCGGCGACCGAGATGATGGTGTTGTCGAAGCCTAAAGAATAAACAAAATGAGTAACGTAACAGAAGCTGGATTACTTGACATCGAATGAGAGACCATGAGTAACACCCTTCGAAATTAACAAGAGCCATAACCCACCTGAGGAGCAGGCTTAGCTCGAGAAGTTTGACTTGGAATAGAAGTGGGTAGCCGTGTGGCAGAGGGAGCCTCCTGACCAACGCGTATTCGTTTCAAAGGTGAAGCCTGAACAGATAGTGCGTTTTATTACATGCATGAATTCAAGCATGTCTCTGAAATAGAAGGTATGTCCCAAACGAAGAAACCCTTGTCAGATCAACCAGTGGAACAAGCATAGCTTGAAGGAGAGCTTCGGATAGAGCGCACGCCCGCTTACCCAGGAACCATATCCACATCCACTTAGATTAGCCTGATCTCGCAGACGTAGTTGAGGACAAGTGCTAGAAAGCTCATACATTCCAAGTTTTACTCTCTACTTTTTTGGAGTTAGATGTTTGAAACGGCTTTCAGATTCAGGTGGGCCCCTCAAAGCAGGTGAACAGCCAAGGAAGAATGGATCTTTGTAGTTATGCTTACTGAAAGCTATTCTTCCCAACCACGGGTAATAATCTCTCTCTAATCCTATCCTAACCAAACCATAGCAATCAGATTTCAGGAAACCGCAATACCAGTCGCAAGTAACAATCATGCATTGAAATCATGTTAAGCACCTTCACTATACTGTTGGTTGTCGTGGCTGCTTTTTGAGGAGCTGCGACCGATAACGGTACCATTGAAGACGTCTTTCGAGGCGTTTCTGGAGGGGTTCGATGGAAGACTTGTTTTCTTTCTGCTACCTGTAATAGCACACTCTGGATACGCACATTTATGAGTAAAAAACGTTGAAGTGAAAAAACGAGGATCTATACCAGAATCAGATTTGTCATGCTGTTTACGCTCTCTTACCCACCTGATTCCTGGGTCCCTACTTCATAATGTTTCAGTGCAGAGTCAATGTTGACTTTAGAATGTATTGGTTCATTTCGAATTCAAAAATGGGAATCCTATTGTCTGTTTGAAGACGGCTTGGAATGGTTGGATATTCATTCCTTTTTCCAGTGTCAGCCAAAACTTTGCGCTCAATCATTCCTTCCAGGACTTGAAGCAAATTCCTGCCCTACTCCTTATTGTAAACTATAAATGCTTGCCAATCGAGGGGATTTTGCAGGAAATACAGCAGTCCCTGACGCAAAAGAGGCTCTCTTCTGCTAAGAATGCGAACGGACCAAGAGAAGAAAATTTCGAAAAACTCACTTTTTCCGGAATCCTCTTAATGCTGGGTGGAGTGATAGTCGCTGATGAAGGTGAACGTATCTGCAACAGTAGAGCATCAAGAACAACGAAGTAAAACAAGTGGTACCTAATGACGACCTAATGACGCTCACATTAGAATTCTCCTTGTCCTTTTCGGACTCGAAGCCTTCATCTGTGCTTTTTGGAGACGACCTGGCCGATGGAGTCGATGTATCTGTAACATGTTCGTGGCGCACATCGTAGCAAAGTGGATTTTCCAACAAATTGTGAACTTCTTCCCAGTAATGGGTTCGATAATGACTGGTAATGGGCTCAAAGAGAGCAGCGATGCTGTTCTCAAAACATAAACAGTTCCAGAGAAAAGCACAGAAAAACTGGCCACAACGGCCTACTAACTTTGTATAAGTGGTCATGGACTCATGAAAAAACCTTGATTGTTCAAGTTGCAGTCAGTCTGTTTGTTTTGGAGAATTGGCTCCGAGCAAAATAGACTTTTCACAAATTTCGAACTCACCAGATTCCGGTGGGATATTTAAGATGATGGCTTGACGACTTGCAGGTGACGTGGAAGCCTTCGGAATTGCTCCAGAGCGGCGAACGATTCGTGGAGAAGATTGCTGTAGACACTGTTTCTATCCAGAAGCAGCCACTACAATTTCATCAGATTCACCTACCTGTTTCTCCAGGATTTCCACATAATCGTTAAGGTCGGAAACCTCGGCATGGTAAGGTGACGTACGAGGCGGGGGCGGTGAAACGGATGGTTTCGCAATATGGGTCTGTTTGAAAGGAGAGTTGAAATCCTGAACTGGTGGACATACTAGGAGTTGTGGGAAGTGAGATCTTTCCGACTGAGCCTCATCGGTAATTTAGGTACTTTTCTGTGACTTGTGAAACTGCCTATATGGGAACAAAACAGAATTCTGTTCCCAAGCTGACATTTTGCCACTTCGACACTGAATGCGAGCACAGGTATATGAGAACCAACTTACTTCACTCCCTATCTCTGATGGTACTGATTCATTTGAACCAATTTCCTTTGGGCGACGTATCCTCGTACTCTTCTGCAGCTCACGCTCTCGTGCCATGTCCGTCAAACGAGCGGATAACCGCTTGCGATTACTGTAAACTCATTAGCCATTCAAACGTTTACAGCGGGAAATCACTAATTATAGGACTTACTAGAGCTTTTGACCTTTTTCAAGAGTGGCCAGGAACTTCTCTTCGTTCGGTCGTTCTTCGGAGTTTTCCTCATTCCTTCGAGGAATGTCTTCATCCATTGTCCGTGCTCGTTGTTTTCGAGAGACACGCTTTTCCCTCTCCTCATTCTCCTGAATTGGTAGCAGCAATCAGCTGGTCATTTTACAGAGGTTTAGATCCACTTTTTAAGGAATTTTAAACGTTGCAGTGCTCGACTCCACTCTGTACAGCACCACCCATCTTTTAGGTTTTTAGGTTCTTTCCTAAGAACTCCTAAAAACTTAAAAGAGGAGCGGGGGGGGAGGGGAAAGGGGCTACACAAAGTGCTAGGAAAGAGGCACTACATTTCGCTACGCTCGTTACGCTAGCTCCTCTCAGCCTACCTACCAAATTTCGGTGGAAGCTACATACACTCAGACCAAAGTCAGGATTCACAGCCCTTGCTTGATTTTTATTAAGGAAGCAGCCACTTCAGCCAGAGTTTTGGATTTACCGAGTTGCTCAGCTTGCTGGGATTTCCATGAAACTTAGCCTTTACCTAAAATGGGAAAAAACGCCTACCTGCAGTGCCTGACGAAGTCGCATGATAAGAATTTTGAACATTCTTAGACATTCCTCGATTTTAAACGAGCCCTTATTTTCACAGAAAAACAAAGCCAGGTCATCTTGGATTTTCAGAAGTCCCGTCAGTGCCTTGTTAGTCTCCAACAGCTCTATGTGACAGTGTTCCTGAAAACTTCTTCTGTCTTAAAACGGATTTTTTACAAATATTATGTGAAGTCCCCTAGTTGCAGTAAGGTGGACGAAACTAAAGCTGCTGTTGAAAGAGGACTGACCGTGAGGTACTCGCGAATTTCGGCGAACTCGTTGTTTTGCCTCGTCTTCAACTGGTTACTGAGACTGGTACATTGTTCGCCCACGGATCGTAGATTTGTTTTGATCTCTTCGAGAGAGCTTCTAGAATAAACATCCTTTTCCACCAATCTTCTGTAAGCGTTGAGTTCAAGTATCGCTTACTCTGAGGCTTTGTTAATGTTAGGAAGTTCTTGTTCAAGATCAGATAGCAAGTCGGGATCCATCTGAAAGGGCACAACTTTTCATTCAATTACTTGCGTTAGTTTCTCCCTCTGACAAAGAGTAGCTACACACAACCATTACCAGCTTCAAGTAAATAGGTAAAAGAAAAAAGAAAAATAGAAAACTAAAAAGAAAATTAAAATAGGAAAAGAGGAGGAAAGATAGATGCAAGCGAAATACTGTCAAATTCAAAGTTCCACATTGTAGTGCTAAGTATAGCCCTCACCTTAGCGAGAAGATGCAAAAGGGACGATGATCCTTTTGTGGCTCTGTGGTCAATGACCTGCCATAAAGAACTCAGCTTGAATCCGGCGGCATTTCCATGTGTTGATGAGCTGTTTAGATAGTTTCCGATGTTTACCAATAACAACAAAAGGCGACGAAGGGCATGTGATTGCCGGAGTTCTGAAGCCGATCAATCGCATTTGTTCTGCTATTTGTATTTATTTGATTACAAAATAATCATCTACGGTACTGTAAATAATGAAATGAAATGAAACTAATTACTCAGAACTGGAGCCCAAGTTGTTTTTCGGAATATTCTTCGACATCACTGATCACTACCATTCCCCATCCCTTGTCTGTCTCCTACACTCTCCATTACAGAGCCTCATGCTGTCTTTCTCCCACCTACCTAACCTATGCAAATTTACTGGTATTCAGATCAGTCCTCCACACTCATCCACATAACTACTTATATAGGTAAGGTACCGTAATGGGACCCGAAATTTCGTAAACGGCCCACCTGTGGCGGCAGTTTGAAGAAGATGGATCCCAGGCACTACTTCTTCCATAATTCGATGAAATTCCAATCGAAGTATCATGCAATCGATTCTAAACAGATATTATCAAGGAGACAATTTTGGAATCGTTCAGATGGACTGGGTAAATTGTTCACCTGAGACGATAATCAGGAATTTCCAATAGCCGAAGGAAGAATGCACATGCAGGAGCAAGCTGGGAACATTCGCCCGTGTAACGCCTCAGTGCTTCCACCTTAAAACAAATCCATTCCGATTTTAAGCTTATTTTTCATAATGTTTCAGTAGCAACTAAAGATATGAACGATTCAGTCACTACCGTACCTCCTCGGAATCCGGCAAGATCGATTTCAACGTCCGTAAGACTTCCACATCAAAACGACCTAGCTTATTTTCATGTAGGTCTGAGATCAGTATATCCAAGTCCTGATAAATAAAATTCAAATAAACTCTAGGCTATCTATTATTCTTTATCATTCTTCATTCACTAGTTCAGAATGTTCTCGAAGAAACTTACTTTGAACTGCTTCAACGTGATTGTCACATTTTGACTGCGTTTTGGAGTCAATAGATCGACAAGAACGTTTTTCTTTTTGGCACCCTGAAACACCGTTAGTTTCATGAAAGGATTTGAAAGTACTAGAAATGTTAATTATTCATTNTGGGCCGTGATCCTGCAAGGAGAGCTTGCATAGACGAATGTCAACTTATGTTGGGGTACGACTTGGGGTATGGCTCAGGAGGGAGTTGCTAGCGGTAGTTCCAAACTGTATGCCTTATGGTAGAACAACTACAGAGAAATCGCAGGGCTCTCTGTTAGGATCGAGAGTATCACTACACTTACTATTCAAAATTTCCATTTCCTGTGTACTATTAATTGACGCCACATTCATAGTCATGTACTTGGACCGCACAACACATCCTATTAGACCAGTTCCTTTACAAGAATCAAAGCCACAACCATCAAGTGAGTGAGTCCTTCTAGTTTACCTCAATGCTGGAAGCCCTTCCAATGAGTTAAACATGAACTGGGTTCTTTATCGGTGAATGAAATGTTGAGATCGAGTTTTTATAAAGAACAGTCAAGGCTCAGTTGTGCGATGAGTAACGAAGCATGGACGAAATACTCTCCAAGTACACTAATTCACAAATCTCTGATGACATTCTCTAAGGACAAATTATCATACCTGTCCGTGCGTTGACTCAACAACTGCCGAGGAGTTTTGAGCTGGCTCGATGGCAAACATCCCGTCAATCATATCAAAGTCCAAGCAGAGTTCTGAAATTTCAAAAAACTTCCTCAAACTTGAATTGAAGAGAGCATGGATGTTGACTCACTTGTGCTCTCCCTAGCCAACTCTCCCCATATACTCTCCGATCCCTGGCCATGAACGACAGCTGACGGAGTGATTTTTGACCACTGCAAAATAGGAAGCTTTCAATAGCAGTTTAAATATTGTATATCCCCAACATCGAGTGAATCAGATAGGCGAGAACGGAAGGCCTCAGCTAGATGCGATATCGAACTTATATTGTTAGTTTTTCTCTGGTCACCCAAAAAAGTTATTCCTACTCCTGCTGTGTCATTAAATTTAAGAAACAAGTGGCCATTGCTGCGATTTCGCATACAACCCCCTGTTGGTACCTTTTTCGCCTAATAGTGAAGGAAACTTGTGAGAGCTGGAACGATTGGAACTTCATTTACTTACCATTATGGTCTTCATTTTCATAGTCTCACTGGGCGCTCGCTTCGGTTTCATCGACTCTGGCAACTCATCGGGAACCTGTTTCGGAGCCACTAGACCACCAAGAGAAGGTGGTGGAGGAAGCACAGGAGGGCCTGAGAAGATACTATTTCACAGAAAGAAATCATTCAGCTGTTGAATAGTACCTTTTCCAGGATGTGGCAGTCCGGAAGGAAGTCCTGGACCTCTTACGACCTGTGATGGAGGTGGTGGTGGTGCTGGAGGTGGACCTGCTAAAGGTTTCCCTAATAGCGATTTGGATGAATCTGTGAATTTGAACGATGGGCCAGGTGGAGGGGCAGCAGCCGGTGTTGGAACAGTTTTGGATGACGGACACGGTATTTGGCTGGATGCTCTCGAGGTCGAAGGAGGAGAAAGAGCTGAAATCAGGAAGAACTTCACCGAGAGACATCGACGAGCTATCCAAGTTATTGAATGTTATACACTCTGACGGGATAGCTCCTGAAACAAACCTTTTCGTTGTGGTTCTGGTCGCAGGGCTCGAACAGCTGCTTCAGCATCGTCCTGAAAACTTGGGCCTAAGGTCTTTACCGCTAAAAGCTATAATGAAGATCCAGAAGAAGCTAACAACTGACCAGTGTTCTGATTCCTCGTAACATTTCAATCATTTTTTCTACAACAAGGATCCGTCCTCTGCTTGACGATTCGTCTAGCAATAAGGCCTCCAGGTCTGCTAAAAGGTGCGACAGTGGATCGTCCTAAAGCAGAAGACCCTCATTTGGTTGCTTATATTTCGATTACTCATCCCTTTGTGCTTCTCTATGCCTGTTTGTATGTATTTATTTTGTTTGTATGTATTTATTAACTTATTTATTCCTACTTAAGCTATTGTTGATAATTCATTTATTTACTTACTAAGTTCTTCACATATTCATTTATTTTTATTTATTTATTTATTTATTGGTGCAATCCCGGTGTGCAATAGTAATGATATAATGCAGGGCAGTAACCAAAATGTGTAGTGGCTCAGTTAAAATTGAACGGTGCTGACAGTAGTAGGTCCTCAGCATGCGCCACGCATTAAACTTCTAAAAAAATCTAACAATCACTGGTTTGTGAACTTATTTATGTGCCCCATAAATTGCTTTTCTAGTAATCATTCGCGGTAAAAGATGGATATCTGAGCAATGGATCACTAAAATGAAAACCTTCTTTGGTCCGTAACCTTGGCTCACCTAACTTTCCTACAGTTTGCCTTACGAAAAGAAACAAACCGACATCACCGCTTCATCGACCTCACTTGTCGGTGTCATCGAAATTGACGATTCTTCAAGATTATCTGTTTGGAATAAACAATTGAACTGTTCAATTTCGTTGAGTACCTTCGGATCAGCACCAACCCTAAATTAGCAGAAAAAAAATTCCCACATAAGCTTGATCGTCTTGATTAAGGCACAATGAAATAAGAATCAGAAGTTATCGTTGGGTAACAGCAATAATGTAACATCTTTCGAAAACGTCATTTTCCCCACCCAGGCTCGAAGAGGGGAACCCAGGACTATACCCGTATTTAAAAGTGGGCTCCGCAAGCCCTATAACTTCTGAAACATTGAAAGCACCGATCTGCTTAGAATGAGGAAAGGCAACGCTGGTACCAGTGTGGGGTGCAACGGAGTAGTACCTAGCTGGCTAGACCATGGAATCAAATTTTGTGCAGTACCGAGCTAAGGAAATATGTTCAAAGAACCTCTGGGTATCAAAGACGTAAGAAAAAGAAAGCCAGATAAAAAAAAATGAAATTGCAGAGGAGAAGGAGTTGAATCAGTAGACACTGAAATAAAAGGTATAAATGAAGTTAAAGAAAAAGGCAAGAAGGAAAAAAAATGAGAATAGAAAAGAGAGAGAGGGGCAGAGTTTCGAAATAGACCACAAATTATGAAAGTTGCAATAGAGATCCAAAAATTTCTAGCGACGAGCCGTGAGTTCTTATCGAAACGCGCCATGCGTCTGGTTCGCAGCCAGAAATCAAAAATGGTGAGCAGTTGTGTTAGAAAGACCAAGGAGGCAAGACAATAAACAGGTATCCGCCACAACAAAACATAAAGGAAAAATCAAAGGAAATTCCTAAAAATCAGGTCAACCTGGCGGGTGGTCGCTTCCGAGAGGTCACTTTTAGCTAAATGATAGCAACTGTTTTTCAATGTCATTGGTTTCCGTGTTCAGAGTAAAGAGCCAGAGAAAACAGAAGGAATTTTCCAATCAGAACACAGAAATTGACGTAAAAAAGAAATGATTCACCTCAAATGCTCCAAATGTCCTTTGTAGTCGAGCACTGAAATGAAATACGTCAGCGATAATAAGAGTTCCCATTCGAGATCAAAATTTGCACAGTTCCAAATGAATATCGCGTTTATAAAGCTGTATGCTATTAGAAAAACGCCTAATGACTACTTATGCAATTTTTATTCTCTGGACATTCTCACAGCGGCGCTAGGGGCAAGCAGGATAGGGAGCTAACCATGTATCCAGGTCTGAATTCCCTCAAAGACAGCTTTGCTGGTAGTTCAACGAACTTGCAACTTCAACAAAAAAACGAGAAATCAAGCCTCTTTACAGCATTCAAAGGGATCAAACACAAAGATCAACCGCATAAACTTTTAGGGAGAGATTCCCTTATTCCTCCCTTTTCGTTCCTTTAATTTTTCACACTTCACTTTACTCTTTCCCCTTCTCATCTCTACCCTTCTTCTTTCTTCTCACCATAGTTTTCTTCACATCATAAGAGCCTTAGATGCCATTACACAGAACTGTTCATTGTCACTATTTCATGCCATTCCAGACTTCAGCCGCGCCCTATGATCCGATCCGATATACCCTTTCCATTGATTTCCATGGTTTTTTCCATTGACCTCAAGTGGCTGTTCATGGTACATAGAACTTCAGATTAGTAAACTATGCTCTACTGCCAGCCATAGGGATGAGATTATTCTAGATTTTGATGTCATCAGATACCACCCAAAGCCTACGTAAGTACCAAAGGTAAAAGTATGTGGTTACAGCTAAGTTCTGTTATCACAAGATTGGAACTATAAATAGGACTGTTAAGGAACAAGATAAGTAAGTAATCCTATTCAATCCTGACAGATAAGGAGTCACACTTGAATATTTAAGAAAACCCCTTGAAGAAACGATGTAATGAAGAATTACTAATTTTAGAAACAGCATTCACAAACAACTTATTTTGTGATTGAATGCCACAAGATTTGGAACAGATTAGATTTTTCCTACAAGAAGGACACTTCCACAATGAAAAAAGATCTCAAGAAAACGAAAAGAGACGATCGAGCTCATGGTTCGTAGTGGAACTTCTCGGGTGTGACAAGTTGAATGAAAATGGTCGCTTGTAAAGGTTGGAGCTCCGAAAACCGAAGGAATAGGAGTAAGTGTTGTTGGTGGACGGTTACTACGCAACACCGCCTTTATGAGGAGTGAAGACTATTTTATCGCTTAGCAAAAAAAAACTTGAGAAAGGCCGCTTTGGGAAGAATTCTGAGGATTGCATTCCACTGATTCCGCTGATCAATCGATCAAGCAGCACCAAAGGGTTTTGAACTGAAAGTACAGTGGATTTTTGAAAATGTTAAAATCGTTGCGTTGAAGGGCCTCAATTGTCACTAAGCAGAGTGCAGCTGTCCCCAAGACAGAACCGCTTTTCAGAAAGAGTTTCGAAAAACAGAAATTCCCTTCATGTAAGGGACAGAATGCACTGGATGCCAGAGCATCCAGCCAGATCAGAAGAATGTAGTCAGACTGTACTTTTGGGAAAAAACTAGTGACCCCATGGAACAGATAGATAGACAAATGTCAGTACGATGAAAAAAAGCTCATCATCAATTACTTTTCTACGAAATTCGCCACACTTCAGTATAGCATTCAAAATTATTGAGACACCGAGATTCATTGATGGCAAGCAAAGGGGTGGACGGAAAACGGGAAAGTATAGAGTGATTATTTATGACAAGTTCCGTTCTGGAATGAGCCATGCATCTGAATTCTATTCAAAACCAGAAAACGGATTCCGCCTATATAGTGTCTTGAGGGAACTTCGATGCGAAAGAAGGTATGTAGACCCTTCCGAAAATTATGGGCCCATCCAATCCCACCCATAAGTTTGCAGGAGCTGGTTGGTTCTCGTGGTAAGCGATCAGGACTTGATTCCTAGACTATGTGAGGTGTTGTTGGTCAGTGCTCAGCCTTACTGGAATGCGAATTTCTTCAGCCAAAAAACGAATCAATGATTTTATTATCGCTATCAAAATTTTACATCCGTCGGAAATCAAATGAACGATTCGAAGAGAAAGGCCGCCGATAGTTATTAGAATGAAGGAAAAATTTTCATAGAGGAATGATTGAAATGAAGGAAAAACAAAATGCCGATCCATCTTTTCTAACATCAGCCTTATTTTATCATATAGTTCTTTAGTTTCGTTTTTTTCTCTTCTCGGTTTTTACCGTAATTCATTTCGTATTACCTTTATGAACAAATAAGTAAGCCTTTGAGCGGAATATTCGAGAAATTTTCACTCAACACATATTGTGATGTATGTAATAAATAAACAAATAAATCTAACTAGCAGAAAGAATATTTCAAAAAATCGTTCCCAACAAGAAAGTGAAGGAATACAATATGAACGATGTTCACGATGAATGGTCCCGTTAACTGCCATAATAGTCTTCCCACGGTCAATCGTATAGAGTGCTGAGAAAAACGGCCCCGAAATCGCTTACGATGTGTAGGAGAGCTTGAGAAAATATTTGGAAAGGTATACCCAATGAGATCGTAGCTATTAATAGTACAACAGAAAGAGTGCGCGATAAAAAAGGGGAATGAAACCGAAAAAAAATCAACCATAAACGTCTGAAGAATATTTCCAATTCAGGGTCTTCCGTTCCTCTCCCAATTCCGTTTTGAAGATCGGGCCAAGAACTCTCAGAACAGTATCCTTATCTGTTTATTTGTTTGTTTAATGTTTAGATTTTTGTTTATTTGCTATATTTTGTTTATTTGATTTTTTTCATTACTAACTACTTATAAACAACCTGCTTCTAAATCACAGTGTTTCCAACTGATAGCTACTCTGCTGATCTCATAGGGATGTTGAGCTGTGGGCAAAACTTTGCTTTGGACGGGACTCGAACCCGTGATTGTGCTTTTCATGCATAGTGCTCCTCATCCCTTACACTACCAAGAACAGGAACAATAACCGGTAGAATATATAATTGATTGAGTAAACAACATCATCGAGATTTCAGTAAAACAAGAGAGGCTCACACCTGAGGAGATAGTCAAGCCAATAAGTTTTTCGAAAACTCATATTTTTCAGTTCACAGCAGTAATAAGTGGTAAAATACAATGTAGCTAGTATTGTGTAGAAGAGTAAGCGATACAAAAGGTACCAACCCAGAAAACTACGGTACAGCTCTGAAAAGTGAACTTGGTCGCCATGATGACTGAAATTGGTCAGGTGACGCTCATGTGCTATTGTTTGTTCCGTTTTCTAAAGAAACTTTTTTTGAAAATCGCCTTTTAAGAAGGTTTCCGATAATCGATCGGAAGAATGGCAGTTCCAGGTGGTCTGAATGGAACTCCCTCTGGGAGTATGTCACAAACCAGTATAAGGACTCCCATTCTAAATGCAAAATCATCGCTCTATTATCAGAACCCTTGAGTAAGCTCTATGAACTCGCCAAGCTGATGTCCGATATTTTGCAAAATCGTTGTCTGGCAAAGTTCTCGAACTAATCATTGAAAATGAATAACAGCTATCCAAACTTCGAAAAAGTACGTGATTTTGATAGTTCATTGACTTGAAAATACGAATGAGTTTTGGATAAAGTCCAAAGTTGACCCAGGGTTCTACATTCCGACCACTTAGGAAGACCTCCAAGTGAGGTTCAGAGTTAGCCTCCCCGGTTACATTCCATCTAGACTACAATAGAGTTCATGAAAAAGAGTCCCAAAGCATCTAAAAGACCAAAACAAACAAAGCTGCCTTAAAAGGCCTATCCTGGACAAGGTGTGGCCTATATCTCGACCAGCCATATAGGCACTCGATTTCATACGGGACAGTATTAGTATCCATATAATTAGCGGCGAGTGGGAGAGTATTCAGTGAAGGACCGCTTATGCAGATTGCGGTACCGTCCATCCCTGTCCACCGTAGCTGACCGAAGTGGGTAATCCGATAAGACCGGGCCAGTAACTGTAGTAATATAGCCGCACTATTATTCCCTTACTTTGAAAAATCGAATTTTAAAGCTGTAAATTGGAAAATTTGAGTCTGTGAGTTCCAGGGAGCATTTCTGTACCGAGTGATTGAAAAAACACTCTGAAGAGGAATAGAAGTGGTAGAAAACCTGTGGAAATTTCATCGAGCCACTCCCTCGAGAGTGCTTTCAAGGAGTGGACATCAATCAGGGGCTCGGACGCACTCGGATTACTGTGATCAGAAATTTTCTAGATTCTCCCTCGGTTGTTGCTTGCGAAATGGAACTATCCCTCGGATATTACATACTTCCCAAATGGAACCACATATTCTGAGCACTTGAAGGTTTTCTTGAATCCGGGCAGTATAGGCATAATTACGTCTCATTTATCAGTCATTCTCAAGAACGGTCATTATTCATTAGCCATTATTATGGGCCGAATAAATTTCTTCAGATTTGCTCAGACAAATGGAGCTCATAGATTCTGGCCGCTTCAGATGTTCTGAAAAATTACCCCACCCACATAAAATACAGGTGAGTTGCCTCTGCAACAACTCCCACCTTCAAAACACAATACTTCGTAGGAAATTGAGACTTCTTATATCGGCTAAAGCATTTTTCGGGAAAAGTTTTTTAGTTTTCAATGTGAAATTCGATTTTCAAAGGGTCAGTGAAGTTGTAAGTGAAAGATTAGATGGTCATAGAATAAGAAATTGTGATAAGACATTGATTGTAACTCTAGAAACACTCGTTTTTTTCCTCTCACGATTTTTGAATCTTTTTTTTCGAACATTTCTCTCTTTCCTGTTATTAATTGTAGGTGAATGGAGCAGTGGAGAAGAACGCTAAACCCAACGCTTGCAGATCGAATTTTACCTGGACAAATAAGGGTTTCTGACGTTATATATCCCGCCACTTTGGGAACAGACTTAACTGGGTCTGAGAAAACGCTACCCATGTTTTTGCTATTCACTGACAGTACCGTTTATAGGTCAGATTCTATTAGGTTTTATATTTACGAAATGATCACAAATGTGGAGCTCACATCATGGGGATTGTAATCAT